TCAGTAAGTCTGAGCGCTCGACTTTGACAATACTTAACGCACCGCCAGTTGTCCGCAATGCCCGAAATGTGCTGGGTTTGCTTGACATAAAATCTGAACAGCGCGATTGCGCTGCTTGGGACTCAAACGGTTAAGAGATGCTGGAATGAGCTTAAGGATCTTCACATTGCAAAAAGGGTGTACATGTGCTTAATTAGACCAATACTTGAGTATGTCTCTGTTATGTAGTCTCCTTCCTATGGGTGTTATGTAGAATCAATTGAATTCGTTCAAAAGCAATTCTTGCTGTTTAACCTCAGGAATTTGGGGACCCGCTTGTCTCTCTTCCTCCTTATGAAGATAGGTGGCTTCTACTATCCGTACCTTCACTTGAGAAACGTCGATTTAGTTTTGGCGTTTCCTTCTTAGTTAAATTAATTAATTGTACTATCGATTCGTCCACATTACTTGGTAAAACAAGGTTTAATGTCCACAACCGCTTATTTACGCACTTTATTTTCACTTGGCTGATTAATGTAGTATTAAATATAATTACGAGCTGTTTAACCTCTTCACAGTTGTTTGCAGAAACCTAAATGATATCTATCACTTAATCCCAATACTGAACCTTTTAAAGTCTATCAAAACAACTTTGCTTAATACGCGCGACTTGCCTATTCGCATTTAAAGCAACTTGCAATCTTAATGTCTTACTATGACTCGAAAATTAACTCGTCTTGTTTACTATTATCGATTTCCCAAGCTCTAGCATGTTTGGAATGGGTTAGAGGTTCAGTCGCAACTTCGACCTATACCGGTTGTGGATATGCCTTTGTGCTAACTGTGTACGTGTTGTTTTTTTCTAAGTTATTTATTTATGCATGAATTATTGTTTAATTGCTCGTGTGTTATTTTTTTCCTTTTTTTTACATCTCCTTATACATTTTATAATAGATTTTAATAATAATTAGTATAAGATTTACTTCCAAGAGCCAACTGAGTCCGACCATTAATTTATTTTAGATGAGTTTCATGCATAAATAAATAAGTAACAGTAGCTTCCAATAAAACGTTTTAATTGTACAGTCTGGGAAGCAAGGTTGCTAAGCCAGATCTTGAAGTCAGTTGCTGGATTATGATTCTTGTTAATATTGCGGATACGTATCGGACGATATATTCGTCCTTTTTCTTTCTTTCTTTCTATTATATATGCATCTATTATATATATATATACATATATATATATTTATATATACCTCTCAATTAAATTCTGTACATTACCTTTCAAGTTAAAGTACTGGTTAATTAAATTATTTTAAATAATCTATCTATAAAATTATTATAAAATTTTTTTTTTATAGCCGTAGGCTTAAAACGACAAGAATAGCTTCAGCGTTTAATTAAAATTGCAAAAACACGGACTATTTATAACTCCGATATCTTCTTAAGGTAGCAGATGAGTAGAACGATAAATAATAAGTAGTCACAAGTTATGAACTTTTTCTTTTAAACTTGCAGTCAACACTCACATATATGTTTATTAAGCTCTTTAAAAAGTTTTTAAACTTCTAATTGGTACGCATTAATTAATCTATTTACGTTCTTCTTTATGCTGCTCGACCGTTTTTGAATTTAGTATTAAGTTTTAATAAAAGCAATTTTTGATAAAATGAAACTATAAAAACTCGACATATAATATATATTTACATTTAATTTATACGACTGGATATAATTTATCAATTTTGCGGAATATCACCAAAATATGAAATTTTCGTATTTCATAAGGAGGGTTTTTATAAATGAGAGACACAAACACAGGAGATACGCAATTATCTGTTCCAAATTTGAAAATTTCAATAATAAACAACAAGTATGAAAAGAAGGCTTAAAGAAATTCATCATGAACAAGATAGTCTTATATATAGTATGTGTCCTTTGACATCGTATTTATATATATATATACAGAATACAGTTCATATCAAATTTCTTTATATTGTTTGAGAAGCAATTCGTAGATAAAATAGATTGAAAAGAAAACGAAATTTTATTTCACCCGGTTTGTTGTTGAGGTTTGTATACCTTAGACAATTTTGCGACTATAGTTGCGATTGTACCAAACAGAACGGAAGGCTTATCAATTTTGTGCCGCGTTTTATAGGGTTTGCATATTTCCATGGATAACAGGACGTATTGGATGTAACAAAATATGTTTGATTATTTAAATAGATATGTATTTGTAAAAATATGTGAAAAGATAATTTCAACGAGTTCGAAGGAATCAGTTGACCTCTAAAGATGATCTGTTAATGGAGTTCTAAATGTTCTACCTGGAGAAAGAAATAAGTAAGATTACAAAGTATATATAACTAGGTATCTATATGTATATATAACAACATGTTATATATATATATATATGTTGCTTGGTTTAGTTTTAAATTAAAAGTCTGAGTCATTTCTCCTTAATCCCATTCATCCGACTATCCGCTAATATATTTTTGATAAATTAAAAAGACCTTCTTAAATCTTGGTCCAAGTTCGAAAATATATTCTTAATAAAAAATTTTAATAAATTTTCACCAAAATTTCGTGTTGTAAGTTTATCTTATCCTAAATTTGCTTAAACAATTTACAGGGCGACATTTTAAGCTGCAATGCTGACGATCGATTTCGATTCGATTAAAATGAGAAATTGATTTGCATTTAACGGAAAAAAATATTGGAAATTTTTATATACAAACTTGAATTAATGGACGGAATGAAACAGTATTCAATAATAAATTTTCATCTATTTTTTATATACATATATATATATATATATATATATTCTCCTATAGAATAATGCAATGCTTAAAAAAGCAGTAGGTTTTTTAAATTGCGACTGTGACGAAATGAAATTAATTTAATAGTTTACTTAAAGAATAGGAGCCTTAAACAACTCTCATTAAACTTATGAAATCAATTTATTTACAAAACGAAGTGATGCATAAATGTAAAAAAGAACGTCTATATATACATATATGAGGTCATAGTTTACATAACTCATTAACTGTGTAGAATCGATTTCGGGTCGGAATGAACGTAAATGAATCCTTAGTGTTTTAGAAATGGTACCATAACTGCGTTTATGAATCTATACCTGTCTATGTCTTATGTTTATTATATCCAAACTCACGAGTATAGAATGCGGATGCATTTACACTCTTGTACGCATGCATACATACACCCGCGCGCGCGCGCGTACACACGCATTTATTAAAATATCACAAATAAAAAGAAACATTAGATGCCCGACGCTTTAAACGAGTTTTGTAGCTATCAAGTATTTGTTTAAGCAAAGGCCAAATGCTCGACTAAGAGAAATGTTTACGTTAAATTTTTTTAAAAATTTTCTATGTTTACAGCAAATTTTACAGTCCGTACTAGCTATATAGTTTGTTAGTCACTGTTCTTCCTGTTGTAATTACATTCACTTCGAAAAATTCGCCAAGCACTAAAGTGTTAAATTTCATCTTTCGACGGTAGACATTGTGATAGGCCATGACCGGTAGATGACCGAAAACTCGAATGCGATTCAGTTAAGATAGAATGTGACCCTGAGGCCGGCAAAAAATGATAAACTAACCTGACTTAACTTAATCTTACTATTCCTACGACTGGTTGTTGTAGTTGTAAGTTCACTACAATATAAATCCATTTCAAATCTGCACATGAATATGTCTGTATGTGGCAAATTAGATGAAAAAAATTTTATTATAGAAAATTCTATTCAATAGATTAAGAACTCTGAATAATAGTTCAAAATTTTACAAAAACATATATATATCAAGTTGATAGACAAATTTATTGCTGAAATATAAGCGCATTTTTTAGATCATCTTTATTTTAATTTTATGGCGTTAAAACAGTATGAAAACTTTCTAAGGGTAGCTAACAACGAACCAAAAGCAATGAAAAATTTTCCGTTTGTTAGCTCTTGGATAGTTCACACTTTGGTAATAAGAAAGTTTAACTAGTCTGTTAAATTATGATAATTTTCTCTAGAGGCTTAAGTATAAATAATAGAAAAATAACTATAAATAATAGAATGTAAAATAGAATTTTATTAAAAGCCATCTATTAAAGGCTACTCAAATTCTAAAGCATGAAATCATACTTGATCGCTGTTTGAACAATACTTGAGGCAGTAAATATAAAAAATAAAACGCTGAGCTTTAATATAACATCAAATGGTAGTGATTGGATTTATATATAAATATATATTTCCTTATAGAGTCGTAAAGTTGTTAAATGGATATCATATAAAAGTAGTTGATTTTCCTGAAAACAATCGTGCTAGGAGTAGTAAATTTTTTGAGTAAGATAAGATACATTATTGGACCGTGTAATGAAGCGTAATGAAATTAACGTTGTAGCATATTTTTGAGAAGGCTATTGGATTGTCTTTAGCTTTAGAAGAAATTCTTATTCATGTATTGAAGTAAGATTTTCTTTAATTTAGCAAATGCTTTCATTAACTATAAAATAAAATTTTAAAATAATTTTGGACTTATTTTATTTTGATTAAGAATAGCGAGTCTGACACTGTTTTCTAAGGCGTTTCGTGCACAAGTAGTGCGCGCCTAAAGCGTCAATAGTATTAGTAATCGTTCAAGGAGAGTAAGCCCAATCCATTGTTGTTTTAAAATCATAGTTGCTTAAAAATGGTAGATACGTATACGTATATATATGTAGAAAAGGATATTAGTTCTGGAAACAATTTTTATGTCTGTTTGTTATTCTAAGACAAATATTTCAAAGGCATAGAATAAGTTTGCAAAAGAGAAACAGTTAAACTTTAAGCAATTTAAGAAATAAAATCCTAAGAGCATTTAGTTTTCATGTAAACGAATGGATAGAAGTCAGCAGTTTATAATATGTTATGTTATAAAGTAAATCAATAAACCGAAATTCAGTTATAGCAAAACAATAACATTTATAGTAAAAAATTAAAAAAAATATTTTATTAATTATTTAATACACACCATTACTAAGCACACACCACTGTCATTACTGTGTACTGTCATTTAATATGCAACATAAAATATAACAGCGATCGATTAAAAAAGAAAACAAAACGGAAAACGAAAAACGAAAGGAAAAAGAAATGACAGTACAGACAGATCTTTTCAAACGAATAACGTTTTACTTATTTTAACAGTTTTACAGCGAATTTTACTTTTATTCGAACTTATTGCTACCAAGAGATGAATGCCACCGCCACACAGAGATGCAGTGACATATAAGGAAACATCCTATTTTTTTCGTTTTCTAAAAACACATTTAAACACTGGTTGCTGTGATTATTATTGAGTTCGCCTCGTACTTTTTTTTACATAGATACTAAGTAACAGTTTCTCACATAACACATTTTTTTAACATCAAATTAACCGGCGGCAAATTTTTTCTGTTTGTTTTTTCAAGGCAAAAAAAATTTTTTTTCTTTTGTTTTCAATTCTTTGGTTATATAATAAAATGTAAGACTTTTTAGCCTGGAATTCAAACCAGATAATTAAAATTTTTCTTTTTGTTCATATTTAATAAACTTTTTTTTTGTTTTTTTTTTTTTTTTATATACATTTTATCATAAAGAACTCCCGTTTTATATAAAAGTGCATTAGCTTTTATTTAAACGAATTTACGTTTTTATTCTTCTTTTCTTTTTTTTGGATTTACAAATGGTTTTTGACTTTACTTTCACGGTTTACATAAGTTAGCTGCCGCGCGCGAATACGTTTTATTGAGCCGAACGTGTATAGTATTCTGTGCGGATTGTGCGATCGAACGTATGTGCTGGGTTTATCATTGTATACGTTCTGTTTTTTTTCTTTTTATTTTTGACTTTTTTCTTTCTTATTACGTTCCACGATATGAAACGGACGACACGAACAATCTGCGTAACAGTCAAAAGTAGACTAACATGGGTTACTTGAGCAACTACAACTGTGTACAACAAATGGGAATTACACGACAAACGACATCGACAACGAACACGATGACGAGACCTCAAAACACAATACTTAAAACTACTATTGCACCAACAACAACAGTAACAATATCAACAACAGTAACAACAACAGCATCGTATGTATAAATGTGCATAATAGCTACTCACTATGCTAAACACAGATACTATATTATGTACAGCCAAGCAAACAAAACAACGTACACACATACGCATGCATATCTATCCATCGATATGTTATTATATGCACAAAGCAAAAGGCCTCTCACACAGTTAAACACCGACAGTTAGATATTATATACATATATGAATTGAACAATTAATCTAACCACATAAAATGGCATACAAAGAGAGCGAGGGAGAGTACGCCGGAGAGTTTGGTGTTGCAAGTATGTGTACGGAGAGACAGAAAAAGGAAAGAGAGAATAAGGGAGAAAGAGAAAGAAGTAGAGAGAAACGGATTCCACTTTTTAGATATTTTTCTTCGCTAGCATTTACAAGATAAATTGTCAAAGAGAGAGCAAGAAGAGAGCAAGGAATATTATTCGAAGTGAAGTGAAAGAGAATGCAAATATTTTTGAGAGTATGAGAGACAGAGATTTTATTTATTTATTAAGTTTTTTTGTTTTTATATACTTTCAAAGAGAACATATATTTTTCTTATTGAAAGAGAGACATAATAATAATAGTAAAATATAACTTGAAAATAACTACAAGTTGTTGTTTTTAAAGGCGGTTTTTTTCTTGTTATCTTAGTAAGTCACCTAGTATGACAGATACATTTTATTCGTTGGTTATACAAATGTATCTGTAACTAAATTATAATCACGTTTATTCCATGTTCATTCATGTTCAGCTCAATGATTATTAAAGAAGCATACATCAACGATGGGCTGGTCGTTCGTCGCTAAGCTAATTAAGAGTATCTACTAGATACATTATAATGGAATTTTTGTAATTAAAACTTATGTCTATAGTTAACAATAGCAATCATAATAATAATAAGAAGAGGAATAAAAATAATAACAACAACAGCACCAATAACAGCATTAGCAGTAACAATAAAGAAGTGATCATATTGTTAATTAAATAGACTGCAAAACAAAGTGGGTTGGCCCTCTTGCAAAATCTCAATAAAATACAGCGCTTCTAGAAGAAGAAGAGTACAAAGTATATGAAAACGAAAAACGACTTTGGACCGGTTCTCTGTGAAAACATGTACAAAATATTAACTACATTAAGAAAATTACGTATATATATGTAAGTATGTGTGCATATATAAAATACAAAACTCCCCTCTTGTATACAACATACAATAACAATCGCAATAACAGCCAGAGGAGTAACAAATGCAAAAAATAAAAAACAAAACGAAAAAATATATAATGTTATGTATTCATGTATGTATGTATGTATGTATGTGCATATATCTTGAACATAGCATGTTTTTCACAGTATCTACAAGATACTCTATATCTGCGGCCATAAATATAAAACAATCTTCAAAAAACAACAACAACGTCAACAACAATAAAACAAAAGAGAACAGACGACCGACCCCCTTATAAATATATGTGTATATGTAGAATTGTGTGCTAACTTTAGCTCGCGTTGAGCGATATTAATACTGCCTGGCTGCCTGCCATACAGGCTGCCCGCCGATTGCTTTTACATAAACGAGACAACAAATAAAATTGTAACACACATGCACACAGAAATGTACAAGCACTACACAAACACACAAATCGCCACAAATCGACACAAATCGAAATGCAAGCAAGCAAACGATACGGTTTTTATGTTGTTCTTGCTTGTTCTTCTTGAAGTAAGTATAGGCAAAACGACATAAAAAACAAAAAAAATATATAAAAAAATTTACCAACAACAACACCATGATTATAAGTTACAACTATAACAACAACATTGCTGGCTTAACAGGGCGCTATGCAAGCGAGCGAGAGGAACTGAACGGAATGCGTGTCCGTAGTGTGAGCGAGCTCGAGCTCTTTCTGTTCAATGTTCATTGCCGTTGGTGGTAGTGGCATTGCTTGCTTGTTGGTAGTTGTATGACAAGCGTACACACATTTTATACGCTCGCTGATAACTTGTGACTCTGTGTTTGTTTATGCAGTCGTATACGTATATGTGTATAGTCATCCTATCATCAACAACATCAGCAGCAGCCGTATCTAAAATGTATCTACGTATATATGTGTGTATGTATGCACGTGCGTGCGTACGCGCGCGCGCGTGTGTGCGTTTGTGTGTGTGTGCGTACGTGTGTATGTTGTGTGCACCAGTGTATTTATATGTATGCATGTTATACTCTGTACATAACACAGCGTAACATGAAAAAATTAACTTAACAACTAGAAAAATGGCTGTTATTGCATGTTGTTGTAGTAGATGTTTATGTTTTTCTCTGCCTTTTTTTTTTTCCTTTTTCAGTCGTTCTTTTTTTACTTTTATTTGTTGTTGCTTACTGTAAGCGTGTGTGTACACCTAATAATATGTACGGTTGGGCGATTTGTTCGTTTAGTTTTGCGTTTGTGTATATTATTGTTGTTGTAGTTGTTGTTGCTTCCAATTTTTTATATTAGTGTTCGTTACACGTAAACGATACAACTTTAATATCTGTTACAACTGTTTGAATTGTGCAGTTTTTGAACATATATCTATTTATATATACATCTGTATGTGGGTATGTACGTATATTCAATGTTCGTATTTGAAAATGTTTTTATCGAAATTTATAATGGGCGTTAAGAAAAACAAGGAGGTGCCGTAAACATATATACAAATTCATGAGCACGCAATAGCATCATCCCGTCATAAAGGAAAGAAACAAGATCCTTTAGTACAGTAAAGTATTTATTGTGTTATCGGAAAAATGATTTGATCCCAGTTACAACAACATTACCGGTAGATTTTGGTGAAAAAAAAAACAAAAAACCATTTAATTAGTTTATTGAATTTGAGTCAACACATGTCGAAAGCGGCTGCGTAATAGGTTTTCAAACAACTTTTACATTATTGTTTCCATCGTTGGTCCAAGCTGTGAAAAAATGTTCTTGAAAGATCGTCTATTTTTAGAACACCTTTTGAGATAGTCACTATGATATTATATAGTCTTGCCAACAAAGCTTTCAATTTACGAATTATTGATGGAACGCCTAATTAGATTTCGTGTTGAATTTAGTTCATAATTGAGTTATGTTTTTTTTTTCTATTAAAAAAGGAATGAAAGGGATGTTGTGACGTTACAACGAATTGTTTCCCGTTAAATTCAACGTTTTCATGACAATTTCCACTACCTGCACTTTAAATATATTAGTTAGATATAAATAAGGAAAGAATAAATGAACAAGTAATAGATAAAATCAATTTAATAATAGTTATAAATAAACAAATATAAAATTAAAATAATATTTAAATAAAAACCAGTTTAAAATTAACAACATTAATACATTAAAATACCCATTAATATTAAACACTAACATTAACATTAAATAAAATAAAAACGAATAAAAATAACGCAATAAAATTAAAATAAAATAAAAACCAAATAAAAAAACAATTTTTTTAAATTAACATAAATTAAACTAAAATTAAAATAAAATAAAAATATCTCTACAATTAAAATTAAAATCAGAAAAAAAAAAAAAAAATGAAATAAAATTCAAATATTAAATCAAACAAAATTAAACGAACGCAAACTAAAAATAATATAAAACTAAAGTGAAATTAAAATAAAATTAAAACTAGAACAAAGGTGAATTAAAAATAAATAAAGAATAAGTAAAAATTGTCTAATAATAAAGTAATAATAACACAATAAAATAAAAACAATATAAAAATAAGATCTAGATAAATGTAGGGTAAAATATAAATAAATTTAAAATAAAATAAAGGTAAATTAACAATAAATATAAACACAAAAATGATAGAAAAAATCAGAAACGACAACAAAATAAAAATGAAACATCAATGAAGTAAATATTAAATGAACACAAAAATGATAGAAAAATGAAAAAAGAAAACAAAATGAAAATAAGACAACAATAAAGCAAGTATTAAATGGAAAAGTTAAAAATAAAATAAAACTATAGTAAAATTAAATTAAGATTGAAATAAAATGCAACAAATTATAACAAAGATGAATTAAAAAAAAAAATTAAATAATAACAAATAAAAATAAACTTACAAAAAAATAATAATAAATTAAAAATAAATTAAAAATAAATATTGTTTAAAATAAAAAAAATTGTTTAAAAATTATATAAAGTAAAAACTATAATCATAATAAGACTTCTGCTAGATAGATAAGATGACTTCTTGAGGGAAGCAACTTTTGTTGTCTATTTTTGCGTCGAATGCCATATATGTCACACTCGATCGAAGTTTTTTTTTTTAATTTTAATTGTTATAGCGTTTAATTAATACGAAGAAGATTTCCAAATTAGTTTTTAAAATTTTTAGAATTAGTTGATAAATTATATAGTCCTTTAAGACAAGTTACTTATTATATAATCGAAAATATTCTTACTTTATTACAATGTACAAATTTGAACGTAATATGTATGTAAAACAGAAACGCTTAACATATAA